GGTTCCAACATCATAGTTTCGATATGTTGCTGAAACCAACATCATGGGCTTTGCTGCTGAAACCAACTCGTCATCTTTGGTTCTAATTCAGCCCTAATTCAACATCATGGTTCATCTACTGAAGAAGGCAACCTTTTTTCGGGAGGTTCGGAGTTGGCCTATGGCGTGCTGCTGCTGCTGAAGCGCACCCTGCACGCCACTGAGCTCCAGTTGTGGCAGCTTCCCTCACGCATGTGCAGGCATCTTCCCTGGGAAAATGTTGGAAAAATGCTGGGAAGAAGATGGGATAGGAAAACTAAAGAACCTGATATTGACTTGATATCATCGATCCTTTAAACTGCTGAGTTCGGTGAATTCATTCGGATGTTTGATTGATTTTCGGCACTTGGTTTCTTGTGGGGAAAGGTTGGCGATTAAAAATTGAACGCTTGAACCTGAACCACTGGAAATCGGGGAAAATGTTGGAAGATGTGATATCATAGCTGCTTGGTTGGCGGATGTTGCTACTTTCATTGAGATGTTTGTTGGGCAAAACGAGAGGATGATTCCAATGGATATCGGTGAATCAGAATGAAATCGCCTTTCTGGGTGAGCTGTTTGACCTAACAGGTCCCATTTTGGAGCGGGTCCACTCCTGGTAACAGGTCACTGTTGGTGGCAAAGCTTCCCATGGAGGATGTGGAACTGTTGGTGGCAACAGTGTACCTTGGGTTCTTGAGGGTTCGCCCAGTGAAAATCAAAGAAGTTGTTGATGACATTATGATATCCTCAAGTAGTAAAAAGCTTGCCCTTCGGAGATAGGAATTTGGGCACCACCTCACATGAGGACACCTCACGTGAGGGGTCTGAAAATGTAGAAAAGTCATGAAAAGTCATATGGTCATATATGGCAATATCAAAGGTTCACGAGTTATTCAACTCTTGTGTTTTTGAACATGGATGGAGTTTCCTTCACGCGCGGGTGACAAAGCTTCCCAACCTTCAGATCAGCTAATGTTGCGTTTAGGTATTTTTTGCCACCTCAAGTTTCGGATTCTTGAGAAATCATCTGCTTTTTGTGACCTTGATTGATGCTAAGTCCCGCTGCAAAGATGTTCAAAGGGATTATCAACAGAAGTGTTTGACTCTCCCAGGATTGCAAATGGTCGGGGGGATTCTACCTTATTACCTTGAGGTTTTTCTGCAAATTGTGTGGGAATTTGGGCTGATTGGTTTGTTTTTTGGGGTTCCTGGTTTATTCACAGATTGACCCACCAGCAGTTATGGTATGTTATGGTCATGACCTGCCAAGGCATTTAGAGTCGAATTGTCAAGATCTTCGCCGGGAACAACTGAGGTGCGGCATCTTTGCACAAACTTCGTTTGCACAGTTTGCACAAACAGTTTGTCCATGTTTGTCCAGATCATTTCGGGTCGTTCTTGTGGCGCTGATCTTGATTTTGAAGTTTTCCGGAGCTGTCTCAACTCCTCATGTCTTTCACTGCAAGTTGAAGGCAGATCCTTCGATATTTGGATGCTCCCACAAGCCATGTGATCTTGGCCGGGGATATGACTCTCGCCCAGAAGTGCTGCTGAGGTTGACACCTCTCGTTTTGTTGCTGCTTCGGTCAGCACTTCCCCTTTCGAAACATGCAACAACACGTCATTTCCCATGAAGAGAGAACTGCATGCTAGCCATAGGATCATGCTTTTCTCACGACATCCTACTGTTTTTCGTGAAATCCCAATTTCTATGGAATTGGTAATATGTACCTGAACATTCCCACTTGGTCGGTGATGTATCCATCTGCATTTCCTCAATATCCTGTCCTTAATATCCTTTAGTTTCGCGAAGATTACAAACAAAAGCCATCCTAAAACAACCGCCATCAAAACTGTGATTTCATTTCAACACCATTGAAACATTCAATCCTAAAATCTCGATTGTGTTGTTTTGAGATCTCCAGTTGAACACCATACATTTTCATATACCATCATTACTTCAATACCCATGAAAATCCAAGGAATTGTTTGGCCTCATCATTATACGGGCGTTGGAAGTATATAATCATATCATCAAAATACGTATATGTATGTGTATATAGATGTATAAGTAGAAACAGATCATAATACCCATCCTAAAGATATATTGTGTATATATACATATATATATATGGGGGTGTGCAGAACATACCCATCGGGTCCACCTCAACGCACACCAGGAACTTTGGCGACTTCGCTGTGGAGGAAGTGGAGCTGCGTCAGGCGAAGCGCCTCCATCGGAGATTCGCAGCGATGAAACATCGTAAACCACAGCAAAAATGACAATTTACTATAGTAAATCAATGGTAAACTGGTAAAAATCAATTTTTACGGTAAAAATGGCTGGTAGAACCATGGTTTTTACCCACAAGAAAGTAGAGAGATTTAATTAATGATTTTGAGATATGATGGTTGGTGTGGCATTGATCCGAACAGAAGTGCTGGTGACGACGAAACGATTCGCTAAACGACAGATTGATGGCAGCTCCAGTGATGAGTCAACCCACTGGGCAATCGAGGCAGACTACCACGACTGCACAGCTTCTTCGGGACGTTGCCTGGCAGAAAATGAAAAGCAATGTGTGTTTCGCATGTTTGCAATATTTTGCAATGCTATTCAGATAGTCCCAAATACAAAGCATGTAGCCTGGAAGTGGCCATTTTGCTATACATTTTGTCAACAGTGGAAATTCAGTTTGATAACTGATACATACGTGAAATGACTTGGTGGTGTGTCCACATTTCGAGACAAAATCCACTGCTTGACGCTCTGTGCGGCACATCTAGAACCCCGGCCATCTTGTCCCCAGATACCATGCCTCGCAACGATTTCGACGGCAAAGCGTGCCGCTTGGACCGGATCTACACCCATGAGAGTGCTGGAGGCAAGGTATCCGTCTAGTTTAAGCAAGTTGAACATATCCACATGATGTCTCATGATGTTCCGTGATGTTTCATGATTCATGGGAATTCCTAGGCACACTTACAAAATGTTTTGCTTTTTTTAGGTGGCTCAGTTGAGAGACTTTCGACTTTCATCACCGGCCAGCTGTCTGGCGCCTGGTTCCCTCTGCTCCGCGCTTATTGGGCACGGAGCCATTGGACGAAGGTGGAGCTGAAGGCGCCACGGGGCGCGCCCCACGGAGTTCTCCGAGTTTTGGGGCACTTTTTTTGAACCTGAAATGGCTATTCCTACGGATCTTGCAGAATCTTGCAGATATTACATGATACCACAAGGAAACCACAAGGAAACCACAAGGAATATGGAGATGTTTCATGAAATCTCCCAAGTTCTTCGTTAAACTTAGCTGAGCGAGCTATCACTACTTCTTGCACGATATGTGTTCTTTCCCATATTTCGGGGTAGATTTCTGAGTCACCAACAAGGAATATCCTATGAAACCTACCATACCAAACTACAAACGATCAGCACTTGGTGATAAGACCCCCATTACCCCCATTCCTGAGGTTAATCTGGCAGGTCTGGCAGGCAACAACCATGGTTGCTTTGAAGATCCAGGGGATGCACTAGCAGGACTCGATTGGCACCAACTGATGTTAGCCTGCGGTGCCGTTTGAAGCTGGTGAATTCAAGAGAGTTATACAAGGGCAATATGTTCAAGCCACGAGGTATGTATTTTTGAAAATATGGTATCTCTGAATATGTATGTTTATTCTCCATTATTCTCCCTAAATTGCCATGTTGTTTGCCATGAAACTCCGTTTTCAGATGTGGTATATATCATTTGCTATCCTCCCATTGCTCCCATTACATCCCAATATCATAGCTGAGGCGGCGACAGCGACACGGATCCGGAAATGATCCTTGGATGCATGCCATTTAGATCCATTTAGTAGATACTTTCTACCCATTTCTTCTAGGACCTGGGTGAAAAAAAAACCGTGGAACCGTGCGCTGCTTATTTGCCGATGCTGTCCCGTCCCAGGCCTCCCTTGATTCCCGTGGCCTTCGGAGAAATACCATTGCCCATGAGTCGTTGCCCTTCAGTGGGGCTCTCATGGGAGTCACGGATTCACATTTGAAAATGCTGGTGAATCTGTAGCCAGTTTCAATGGCCAAAAATAGATTTTGAGCCATACAAATAGTGAGAATCACTTGGATTGTTGGGTGGCGGTCAGGACCATTGAGAGACCTGGTGAATGAGTCTCCTTTGTATCTTCTATCCAAACGAAAATCTGCATCCTGGTGCCTAGACATGCCAATTGAGTACAAAGATTTGACGCAGGCACCAAAATAAGACCAGCAAGGATGATTGAGAGATACCCAAAGATACCACATCCAGATTTTTCTCTGCAGGACCATTACGGCGTCCTTTGCGATTTCGAAATAGTGAGACGAAAGGCACGTAGCTGATCAATCCCGAAGTGAAAGATGGATCCATGATGACCCATGATCCTTTGTCTCAGGTGAACTATACGATCCTCATTGACAAATTGATCCTCCTTTTTCGTTTTGGAGAAACCGATTTGGGTCGGATTGCTCATCCTGTTCTTGGCAGGTCACGCAACGTGCTTTGCCCATGCTTAGCGTGCAAAAAGATGCCCGCAAGCGCGCAATCGACTAGAAAGTCGTGGGATGAAACCCCGAAAACTCTGAAGTTGAATTCTGTACTTCAAATCCTCAAGGTACAGCCTGCAGACCAGTGAATATTCTCCAGGTAACATCCATGAAGCCCATGAGGCTTTGAGAAGGTGAGTCTCAGGAAATTGATGAAAAAAATTGGCATCTATGATCAGAGGATGATGCTTTACTGGTGCTCGTGATGATTTTGATACATGTTATCATCATTTTATCATCTACAACCATCCAACAGGGATTTCATACCCAGCATGATCCATCAGATTCTGAGGCCCAAGGCGGAACCGGTCACACTCTTCCGCTACCAGGCGAGGGTGGAAGCAGACTTTTTCACAAAAAGCATCCATAGCATCCATGAAAATTCCATCAAAAACTCAAAAACCATCAAAATCCACGAATCACAGGTCAATTTTCCCGGGAACGGAAGCAGTTTTTGGCATGTTGCAAAAAGGGGACGGAAATTGCCAGTGCCCCTCAGATCTGTGGGATCACTGGTTTCATGGTGTGATGACGAGACTGTGAAAATCCAGTGGGAAATACTAATGGTTTTTTGGACTAATCCATGGTTTTTTAGACTAATCCAAAAACTAATCCAAAAAATCCAAAAACTCATCCAAAAAGTCATGAAATGTCCAGAAAGTTTATAACTTGTTCCTCCGAAATCGCCCGAGTCCTTTCAAGGTCACTTGAAGGTGCCCAGCAGTTCTCGATTTCAGCTCTTCAGGATTGGTTTGACTGGATGGTCTTTGCCGTGATCTTCGTCGTCTCTTGGCATCAAGGTTTGCCCCAACCACATGCAGAAGCCACAGTGTAAGAAGTTGACTGTACCAATGTGATGCCACTATCAAACACTTGTCGTGGACAATTGAATTCTCAACTGTCGTGTAGCACAACTGGATTGACAATCTTGAAAAACCAAACCAAAAGGTACCAAAAGTATTGTTGCTCCGGTACAACACAACACCATAGTTGTGTAATGTTGTGTGCCACGCAACGTATTGACTCTGACGAGTGCAACGCATTGCAAAGCAGAAGTTTGGAGAGGAGCAGTACAGGATAGTACAGGTGGGTTGTGACTTGTGAGATGAGTTTCAAAGGATACTTATTCCATACAAATCCCTACAAGATTAAGATATCCTGTGGACCCAAGTCCAAAGCGTAATTTCTGACCAATCAGGTCTTGATATCTTTGCCCAGGTTCTGGTCTGCGTCGATAATTTGCTCCTCTTCGGGAAGTATGGTAGGGAGCCTCAGCCCAGGTTCTCATTGCCCATCGCCCCTTTTCTTATTCTCGTGAAGGGTTTTTACGGACTCGCGGAGCGACACTTCAGATGTCGGTTTCTTTTCAGAAATACCCCTGCTCCGCCTTAAAAAAAGGTGCACTCACAAGTTTTCACAAATGGCCCCATTGGATGGATCGATCGCTGTCCCTAAGATCTCCCATTTCGTCCGCACAGGTGGCAACATGAGTGCTGCAGCTCAGAGTGTTGTTCAAAACCATGCTTCAATTGGAAATCCACCTAGTAAATCAGAAGATCGTTAAACCCATCTTGTGGGTGGTAGGTTCTTTCTTCCCTTTGTTTCAAAAGTCAAATCTAGGAGCCTTCAATCCATCCGAATCCTGGCCACAGCAGAGGGGTAACAAATGAGCTGCAAAAATTCTGATCATGAGATCAACAAAAATGTACCACAAAAACATGGGAAATATTGGACAACAACGCGGTTTTTCATTGAGTCATTCATCTCTGTTTCAGAATCCCACCCTAAGTTCGCCAGGTTTCAAGAAGGCATTGAGCTACAGTTTCTTCTGGTTGGGCTCCTCAGGACCCAAAAATGTAAGTCCTACAAGGACTTGGACATGGCGGCAGAGGTCACCATACATTGAAATAGCTGGCAACTGGATGTTGGCGATGTTGGCGATGTTGGTAATGCTGGCCTGGTATCATAACGATGTTTTCCAGCGCGCTAACTTTCAAAGTGAGTGCCAGGATCCCAGTGGGAACGGCACGGCACGGCACAGCATGACTGATCCCAGTGATCCATAGTGATCCCAGGCTGATGTGCGCCGGCGCCTTTAACGGCTACGTCTATTGGTCCCGTGGGAAGGAAGCAGCCTTCGATTGGGGTATGCCCAGCCAGTTACGCCATATTTTGGGGGTCAATTTTGTAGGATCAATTTTGGCGCATACCCTGGGAGAGAAACGTCAGATCCACTGAGTGGGAGAAGGAGAATGAGGAGGGATGAGCGATCAAAATGTGTATGAGGCTTTTGCGGTGCAACAAGGGACCGCAACAAAAGGTTGGGCATGTGCAGGAAGGGGACAATCATGGACAATCCATCTTTCAGTGAAATTAGAAAGCATCCTTAGATCAAGGAATGATATGGAATCTGCCTGAAATCAGCATTGATTTCAGGCCAATTAGATCTGTCCAAGTTCAACCTTTTTTCAGAAGTCATTAAGCTTCTAAATGAGTGGAAGTGTGTCAGACAGTTGACCATGACTATCAAGTCGACGTTCCGCTGGAAAACCGCTGCACATTGGTTCAGATGGACAGAAAAACTGAAGCAGGCGAAATGCGTCTGCCGGATGGACAGAAAAATTGAATCACGGGAAGTGCTTATGCCTTTCGTGAACCAAGCAGGGCAAGAGGGAGAGCCCCAGGCCCGTCTTAGAAGACTGGGTTGTGAGATTTCGACGCCAAGTTGTTTCGGGTACCCGAGATTCTGTGGTTTTCTGTGGTTTCGATGTTTCAGTTCTTGGAGTTAGTGCCTTACCGAATTACAACCACGGATACCAGGTGGATACCAGGTGGATACCAGGTGGATACCAGGTGGATACCAGGTGGATACCAGGTGGATACCACGGATGTTCCTTTTAAGACCGGGACAAATTCCGCAGGAAGGAGCGCACAGGGCCGAAGACGCCAAATCCTCCTCCGAATCCTGAGAAATGTCTTGGATGATCAACTGAAAGGGGATATGCCAACGCACATCTTAGATATCTTAGCTTGATGGGGGACCTAAAGGAACTGATCATCCAAGTAGCAAAGCTTTTCTGTGTCGCTGTCAGTGTATTTTTCCGACTGTTTTCTTTGTGTGATGGGAACCTTTGAGGGATTTTGTAGTATTCTGACCATGACGTACTCCTAAAACTGCAGCACTGCAGCCAGTTGGAGCAAGGAAACCAGCGTTTAAAGGTGGGATTCTAACCTACCCTGCACCCAGGAGAAGTCTTCCAGCGAAAGCAGATGGGTCTGTCGGGTGAATGATGCGTGGAGAGCTGATGAAAAGTCAACATCTTCTGACTCAAACAAAGGCTCTGGATCTGGCACCAAGCCTGTGACGACGACGACGGGTGCGTCACTTGGCGTTGAGATGCATCCTGAATTTTCGGTGCCATATACCATCATATACCTTCAACGGATGGCGAGTACGTTCAGAGAGACACCTGCAACCCCATTCAACCCCATTCGGAATTTACCTCGGGCTTCGGAGTGTTGTTTCGTATCTGAGGGACGCTTCCTCGTCGCAGGGTCAACGACGCTGGGCAGCACACCTTGTGGGAATTTGCGCATAGATTATTTCCCTTGTAGGAATTAAGAGAGACCTCATTCCGTGCTTGCAATTGTATGTAATTGCATTGTTATGCAATTTTATACGGATTCATGCCTTGGGTTCCTTTTTTTTGTGTACTCAGAAAGACAAAGTTCGACAGCGCAGGGCCAATCCATCTCTAAGCGACATTTTGAGTGGCTTCCAAGAGCCTGGTGTATCAGTCTAGGGATCCCTAAGGGATCCAGACAGCCCCTTAAAGTTTGAAAACATCTTGAACAGAGCAAGACTATACCGTTTTGATGGGAATTTGCAGTGACTTTTGTGTATCTTTTGAGGGATCACTTTCATCGGTCAACAAGATCGTAAGGCCTCCAAGCCAATAGCTCCGATTCGGATGAGCAGCAATCTCAAGCCTTACGCACACTACACCAGCAGGGGAATTGTGACTGGGCAATGATTGGGTTTGTCTGACGGTTGGCTACTAAAATGTGCTTACTCTGCCCGATTTTGCCCCAACAGTTGGTTGATGATGGTTGATAATGATGTAGGGTATGTGCAACTTTGGGATGACATACAGATTTGTTGTTGCCAACTTCAAAAATGACCCTGTTTTTTCTTGAAGTCTACATGACATGATCATTGGCATCATGTGCAAGAGTTGTCGAATGGACTTCAACTCCGCTTGTCCGCAGAAGAGTGGTGAATCCTCTGATTGGAAATGGGGTCCGTTCAAGACCATACGCTGAGTGATTTTCTCAAAAGACTTCAGCAAAAGTTCATCCAATTCGACATCTACCGAGGCAACCCTTGCGTGTTCCACAACTCACGGTTGGGGTGTGATAAAGGACGGGCCTGTCGCTTCTGACGCTTGGCAATTTGTTAACCCTTTGCCTGGGAATGATGGCAGTATGGTGTACAATCCATGACAATCCATGACACCTGTTCCTGCTTCCCAGTGCAAAGGTTATTATTTGAGCAGCCTGAGCATAGATCAATTCTGCTGTGTTCTTGTCATCTTGCCAGGCTTCCAGTGCTAGTGAGGTGATAGTTTTTGGTCCCATGAGGTCACCAGCAACACCAACATGCCGGTGGCCAGCAGCGACCACGGAAGAAAACACGCGAAGACATCAAGATCCGCCGCTGGGAGCAGATTTCTGCGAATTTCCAGGGATTTCCAGCTGATGTTTTTCACGTGTGATGAGCTATTCAGGGTATTCAGGTTTGTTTGGCACAGCCTTCCGAAGAGACAACAAAACATAGCGAAACGATCTTTTTCCGTTAGAAGCAGACTGCAATAAGTGCATTGAGCGCAGGAGAGCTGTTGTTGGGGTTTCAATTCCTACCATTCCTACCATTCAAAGGGATCAATCATGATCAATCACTATGGAGAAGATAGCTAGTTGCTGAACCGTGTAAAGTATTGGTTGTATGGCCATTGCGCTTATCAGGCTGTTTTTGAAGTCTCAGTTGCTAGACCAAAGGGTGTGGCTTGACCTCCATTCAGGAATAGGGCTGGGATCCATGAGCCCACAGCAGCATCATAGTGTGAAGCATTTCTCTCGGAAGTTGGGACATATCCCGATTCTATTCCCTTTTCATGGTGGCTTACCCTCCAAATCCCTCCAACGAGTGTATATATGCATTTTATATATATATATATTAATATTAATATATGCCCAATTCTAATTGTAGTTGGTAATCTGTCCGCTTGGTTTGTTGGTTACCCGGTGATATCCCACGCCAAGGAATCGAAGAATGTCTCGAACTTGAAGGAGAAGAGGAGCAATGGCAGCATAAAAACATGCAAAAACCAACATCTGCAGCATACTGATGAAATGATTGCTGATGGAGGCTAGTTGCCTAGTGGCAGTGGGAGCATGCTGCTGAGGCGCATGCTGCTCTTCAGGCCGAGGCGATTAGACATCCATACGCTCGAGGCCGGCTACGCAACTGTTGCATGGATGGGTTTCCCAGGTAAACCCAGTGGTACACTGTTTTGCCTTTTACCATTTTAACTGTGAAGCAGGAATATGTCATAACGCACTGGAAATGAACTGGTTTACCGCTTTTGCCACTCTGTACAGCCTGCTGGTTCCTATTTCCAAATTCATAAAATGTGTTTCCATGTCTAATTTTTATGTCCGGCTTCACCCAAGTGCCACCGACAGTGCCCCTCGTTCTTGAGTAGGTACCTTATGGCGAGTGTTGGCTGCTACTTGCGGTGCAAACAAATTTAAGCGCTTACGCGCGACAGCCGGCCAGGGGCCCATGTTGAAGTGATAGGGGTGAGCGGCTTGGGGCTATATGGCCCCATCTTGGGGCTATGTTGGCCTATCTTGGCCCATCTTGGGGCTATGTTGGTCTATCTTGAGGGCAATTTGGGCCCATCTTAGGGCTAGGTTGGCCCATCTTGGGGCTATGTAGGGCTAGGTTGGCCCATCCTAGGCCACAAGAGTCGAAAAATGGGAACAGCAAAAAACACTGTAAAACGCGGGACTTTTTGATGGTACGCGATCTCCGGCGGCAGGGGCGGCGGCCCCTCTCTCCTTCGGAGAGGAGAGAAGGCCTACGGCATGGACACGGCCAGCTCGAGGCCCCGCGGGCCCCTGGCCGAATTTAAGGGGCTGACGCCCAACAGCGGGCCAGCAGGCCAAAAGGTGCAGGGTGGGATCAGCAGCATCAGCAGCATCAGCATCAGCAGCAGCATCAGTCGCAACAACTCATCAGCATCATCAGCATCAGTCGCAACAACAACAACAACAACCACAACCACAACCACAAGCACACGCACAAGCACAACCACAAAGACGACAACAACGACAGAAGAAGAAGAAGAACAACAACAAGAAGAAGAACAACAACAACAAGAACAACAACAACAACAATAACAACAAGGACAACAGCAACAACAACAACAACAACAAGAACAAGAACACGAACAACAACAAGAACAAGAACAACAACAACCACAACAACAACGACAGCAATAACAACAACGACAGCGACAAGAACAACAACAACGACAACAACAACAACAACAACCATAACCACAACGACAACGACAACGACAATGCAAGGACAATGACGACAACAACAGCAACAACGACCTGAACAAGAAGAAGAAGAACAACAACAACAACAATGACAAGGACAACAACAACAAGAAGAAGAAAAACAACAACAACAACAACAACAACAACAACAACAACAACAACAACAACAACAACAACAACAACAACAACAACAACAACAACAACAACAACAACAACAGCAGCAGCAGCAACAGCAGCAACAGCAACAGCAACAGCAACAGCAACAGCAACAGTTGGTTGATGTTGTTGATGTTGTTGACGTTGTCGATGTTGTTGATGTTGTTGTCTGTTGCATCAATTTGGAGCTAAGTTGGACCATCGCGGGGATATGTTGTGCCATCTTGGAGCTATGTTGAGCCATTTTGGGGTCATGTTGGGCAATCTTGGCGCCAGGTTGGGCCTATGTTGGGCCATCTTGGGGCTAGCTTGGGCCTATCTTGGGCCATCTTGGGGCCATCTTGGGCCTATGTTGGGCCTATGTTGGGCCCTCTTGGGGCGATGTTGGGCCTATGTTGGGCCATCTTGGGGCTCATCTTGTGCCATCTTGGCGCTATGTTGGGACAGGGGGG